TAAAAAGAAAAAAAAAACACACATAAAAAAAAATGAACAACGCGCATTTTCGAACCAAAGCAAAGCGCAAATTGAACGACAACGCATCATGCCACTGTATGTTGGTTGTGGAATTTCGAATGAAATAAAGTTATAATTTTAAATGACCTTCACATATCGGCCGAGGCAAATCTTGATCCGTAAAACGAAAACAAATATATTATACGAAAATACACCGTATGGTATGCGAGGAAAAAATTCATAATAACAAATGTGAAAAGCAGCAGAAGAAGGAGAGTAGACAAAAGATACAAAATGGAATGTAAACGGTTTAGTTGAGAGCAAGAGAGAGAGAGAGAAAGTCGAATGCAATTCGATTTGAAGCATATCCACATATTATAATGACCATTCCCTGCAGCGATTCAAAGGGATTGTGGCAGATTGAGACCAGCAAATCTCATCGTTTGACATTTATTTCAAACAAACAAACGAGGCATCGAATGAAACAAAGACCACATGAGCTCAAAATTTAAAGTTTTGATAAGCCTCTCTGTATCTATTGTATATGGTTTCAACGAAGCTAAACATTCCATTGCAAAGCGATTTAACTGATCATACATCAAACAGTAACAACAACAGCAGCACCACACTATAATCAAGTAGCTTTACAAACGACATAATATATATACACACATGGAAGAGAGAGAGAGAGAGAGAGAGAGAGAGAGAAAGAGAGAAAGAGAGAGCAAAAATGAATTGGACGCAACAGCCGCAGGTTACGCATATATCGTTCTTTGCATAACGAAACAAACAAAAAGCAAAACTTTTTTACCGAACCAATAACCAAATGTGGCTCGGCTTATGCATGGACTGAGGGCAACATCGCCAAACAAATACCACAGTCAAATACGAATAAAAGAGAGAAAGATAACGAAAGAGAAAGAAAAACACACACACACACACACACACACAAGAATTATACGACCCGATCAAAACCGTTTATTTTTGTTTTTATTTGAGTTGCCTGTTGCCTGATTTTCGTTAAAGAATTTCAAACGAAAAAATCTCAACATCTGCTGGAATGTGCGCACATATTTTTGTAATTTTCTGGCTCCTCTTTCTCTTTCTTGCTCTTGTCCGCTCTCTTTCTCTCTGATTTGTATCTTTGGGCACTCTTCCATGTGGCATGTGTGTGAATATGCGTTTGCTTGTGATTTGTCGGCGCATGACTTGTGATACGGAGAAATGTGTATTGAACGGCCGGCAGTGGCTTTTATGATCTCGATTTTAAGAAGAAAAAAAAAATCTGTTTCTACTGTCTTGACTTCACTTTAATTCGATTGGAATGTCTTAAACGTGTGTTTGCTTTTTTTTGGCTGAATGTTTATTTGGTTTGTGAGCTGGGCTTTTATGTCTCATTAATCATGTCGCTTGTGTGCAGAATGACGTACAATTCTTCCTTGTACACTCAAGGACTGAACAAATAAGCAAATTTCGATTTGTGAATACCTCACGCTTAATGTGGAATTTGAGTACACATGTCGATCAAATCGATTTCATTCACTCGCAAATCACGTCAAAATCGGAAAGAAATTTTCTAAACAAAAAGAAAAGAAGAGATTAACGTCTCTCATTCTCTTTCTCTTCATCTCGCAACAGACTCAGATTAGCATTGAAATCTAATCCAATGGAATTTTCTTGTCACCAGACACTTTCACAATCGAAATTGTGCAATCGAATTGATGTCTTGAACTCCAAATCGCTTTCAAACACTTTTTTTTTGTTTTTCGATGCATTTTGCATACATAATCAATATACATTTTGAAGCAATTGACATTTTATTGATAAAAAAATACTATTAAATTGAATATTTTTCCTTAATTGGAACGATTTTGCGCAGCAATTTGTCTATGCCAAATGCATCGTTTTATTTATTATGTGTCACAAACATACAAAAAAAAAAAATAATAATGTGAATTCCAAAGCCAGATTCGATGTGATGAAATTCAAAACATGCAGAATTCTACAAAATATATACACAATTTGACCGCAAACTCATACACAAAGACCGAATAATTTATATTTCATTTGCTGTGTGGGATATATTTTGTTCATCGTCATATTTCATTTTGGGTGCAAAAACGCATACTTTGTCACGTTTCTCTGTATACTCTTCTGAAAATCGTTTTCATCTCATTTTTTTTTTCTCTGCCTTTCAACTAACTTTTAATGTCTGCATACCAGAGATTCATTCGCGATAAGTATCAATTTCAAAATGAGCTGAATGCATGCAGTTTAATTCACACGTAAAAAGCAATAAAAAAAAAACAAAAATAAGAACGAAGCCGTGTATCACATTCATCTAAATAGAAAAAAAAAACATGCACACACACGGTACAACTGAACCGAGTATATATATATTGTTTGTTGTTCCATGTAAATATTTTCATAGACTAAGAAATATTTGATTACTTAATCAATGTGTAAATATGGCAAAAATTGTAATGTGAATATGTACGACTGAATGCTTAGATTAGAGTTGAGTGATGTGCAGATTGCGCATGCGCATCTCATGAATACTTACTTTGGGCTGTACTTTATTTTCATATGGAAGATGAGCGAGCGTGTGTGTCTTGCGATTTTTTTTAGGTTGAATGTATATAAACAATCGCATTCCAATGCTTATCGCGCGGCCTTTTTGTTGCTTTGTCTCTATTTCTCTTTTTTTCTCTTTTTAATCGTTTTGCGAGCGATTACACAAATCGCTAGATGTGCACATTTTTTTTAAAATAAAAATAATTGATTGGTTGCATTTTACTTGCGACCTACGAAATTTCAAGAAAATCTCACCCAATTTTTTGTTGGTCGAAAATAGAAAATTAACTCGTTAATGTGTTTTCTATATACAATTATACATTGAGCAATCGTCCTTGAACATTTGACAAGAATTTTTTTTGGGAATTCTTGAAATATTTGGCTGAAAGAGTAGGTGTAGAACATCCGAAAATGAAATAATAACATAATAATCGTAAGACAGTTTAAATTATGCAAACATTCAATTCGTTTTAAATTTCGAAGAGAAAAAAAAAAGAAATATTGTTACAAAACAGACGAGCTGCGAGAATACTATAGATCGCATTCCATACCAAAAACGATCAGAATAATAAGCAATTAAATGTGTATTTTTCTTTGACAACATTATTCAATGTTCATCGCAGGCCGGTTTTTATGGAGAAAAACGAACAAATCCACTAATGAGACCATTCACTTAATTAATCCATTGGCGTTGTGGAACTGATGAAACTCCCTGTTGCTATTGTTTCCAAAAAAAAAAATGAAAAAAATTCACACACGATTCAAAGGCCAATGTCTTGTGTATTCGCCGGAATTTGGCTGATCAAAAAAAGACAACTGAAACACAAAACCATTTGGAATGTAAAAAATATTAAAATTCAGACATAAAATGTTTTAAAGCCATTTAAAAGAAAAATCGACATGAAATGAGTTCGGTTTCGCATGAAATAGATTTGAATGAGAGAAAAAAATTCGAGGCATACATTAAGAATTTCAGTGTGAGTGTGATAGAGAGAGAAAGTAAGAACGGAAAGAGAAAGAATCCCATTCGAATCTAGTCACTGACCGATCACACGGTGATCATTAAAGCGAAAACTGCAAACAGAAATCACACATTTTGATTCTTTTTTCTTTGCACACACACAATGTGGCAAATTCTGTGTGGGCGGCAGTGCCAAAGCAATGAACTCACTGAAAATACAATTGCTTTTGGTGAATTTCTCGGAAAAAATTGCCATCGCTATCGTTCTACCATATTTTTTTCGCGCTCCTCTTTTTCTCTCTCTCTCTTGTCAAAAAAATTTGCCGCGGAACAATCACATATAAAAAAAACGACAAGGAAAAATGAAATGCGCTGACTGTTACCATTTCGAGATCCAAATATGAGAAACAGGAACAGCGGCACAGACATTTACTCTCTAACAAAACAATAATATATAGATATATTTTATAAATAAAACGAATTGATGGCATCAACAAAATGTGTGTGTTTCTACTTGCCATGAATATTTCAAAGAAATAATTTATGGATTATTTTTGGATGCGCGCAAGTGAGACAGAAAAGAAAGAGCGTTTCATAGTAGTATATACATATATGTGGAACGATGGAAAGGCACAATTAAATGCAAAAGCAATAAACGAACATGTAAAAACAATTAGATTGTCGAGCGAGTAGCAGCATCAGCAGCGGCGCAGGTGCAGAACCCATGAGATTGCATTGTTTGTGCAAATCGAAAAAGTGACAAGATAACAACAACAAAAAAACTCAAGCAGCACCAACAACAAAAACATGATTCATAAATTTGTGATGAAAAGCACACACACACACATAGCAGAAACGCGCAGAAAATCCGATTTGAATATGAGAACAATGTAATGTATGTGGTAGAAAAATATGTATCGAAAACGACATGCACTTCCGCTGAAAGTTGATGTGGCATAAAACAAGATTTTTGCATGTTAAAAATCCATGGCTGCAATCGAGATTAGAGTTTAATTTTCACATTGCATATTACTACTATCTATACTGATGGTTGTTAACCTCAGCTCTCATTCTCTTGACTCATTCTCTGTGGTGCTTCTGCTGTCGCTGCTGCTGTTTGATTGCTATGTGCTGCTGCAATTTGCCGCCACACACACACACACTCCGGAATTTTTTCTCTTCTTTTTCAAACGTGTTATACAGAGATTTGCGTTCCGGTTTATTTCCTTGTGTCGTTAGACAAGTCTCTTGATTTTTTTAACATATATGCTGCAGGTACTAAAGGCACGGTAGAATATATGCAATACAAATTTATTAGCCCTTTTAAACAAGACAGCGATACATAGATCTAATTCAAAGCGGAAACATGCAGTCATTTCTCAATATTTATATACGCAAATAGTTTATTTGAACGACAATCAAATGATAATAATAATGTTTTCATGTTTAATTTACTTTCGCTTAGGTATACAAAACCACAAACATTTGCCGACTGTGTCGGTGATGAGTTGCCATTGGGATGGGAGGAATCATATGATCAAATCATCGGACGATATTATATCAATCATTTTGATCGTGAGTTTCATTCAGACTGCTGCTTTTGTTTCTAAACGAAATGAATTGCTCATTTGTTCATTTCTTTTATCGAATATAGAATCAACACAATTGGAAGATCCACGACAAGAATGGAAATCAATTCAAGAACAAATGCTCCGAGAGTATTTGTCATCAGCACAGGATCAGCTTGTGGCCAAAAAGGAAATCTATGATGTTAAAAATCAACGACTTCGACTTGCCGAAGATGAATATAACATGTTAACGGCGATGGCAGCCAGTCGCAGTAGTTGTAAGTATTGATCACAAATTTTAAAAGTGAAACATTCCAATAACATTTTTCAATTTTTTCGTTGTGTATTTCAGTGTATTCATCAAGTAGTTCGATAAGTACGCGACACGATCCTGAATTGCTAAAGGCTGAATTGGCAATGGCACGAGAGAGAGTGCGACGATTAAAACGTGAATTACTTCAAATCAATTCGGATATAACATACACACAACGCGGTGTCGACACATTGAACAATGTGGAACAGAAATTGAGTGCACATGAAAACGGCTGCTACAACATATCCGAAGTGCAGGCCATTCGTGAGGAAATGATAAAAGTGCAAAAATCGCTTGTATCCGGTGAAAAGGTCAAAGATGAATTGATGCGAAGTTTAGCACATATCAAAAATGAATTAACACGACAACAATATTGTGATCCGAGCAGTGATTATTCGGCATTTATGCAAAATGATAAAATTTGTGTGGCATCACAAACCGATTTATGTGCAGAGAATTTGCATGGTGGTGCACGTTTTGCTGAAATGGCCAAAACAAAATTCCAATACGATGAATGGCGAAAGCATATCAAACAATTGCAACAACAATTGGCCGATCATGTGGATAAGATTGAACCGGGACAATTGGAATCGGATAAAGATCATTTGCTGTTAATCCAAGAGAAAGAACAGTATTTGAAAGAGTTGAGAAGCATTCCATCGGCGACAAAATCATCAAGTGAGGTCGCAACCATTCAAGAAGCTTGCCGAAAATTAGAAACCGATCTGAAAAATGCATACGAACTGTCAAATAAATGTATTGCCGATCGATTGCGATTGCATGAGGAAAAACAAGTGTTGCTGCAACAATTGCAGGAAGCTTTAAAATCAACAAAAATGCTCGAAGAACGATTGAAATCATTCTCATCGGGCAGCACATTTTCAATTAGTTCGGGCTCAAGTTTGGGATCATTATCAACGGCCAGCAGTAAGAATTCACTCAGTCTCAGTTTTACCGATATTTATGGTGATCCATTGACCACCGATACACAAGTTGATATGCTTGATTTGCATCGTCGCAACCAAAGAATATCACATCCGTCGGAGGTGTCGTTGTCGCCACGCAGCAGTTTATCGGTTGAAACGCCACCCGCATCACCAATGAAAGAGAACGTGACCGATGAACCGACTTATGAAAATACAAAATATTTCCCATCGACATCGTGTTCACAACAAGAATTGGATTCGACCGTTTTTGATTGCATGCGTTTGGAGGAACGATTGCACGAACTTGAATGGAAACAATCGTTGGGAATGAGCGTTGCACCGAGTGCAGCACCATTATCACCCATTTATGAAAAACCATCACTTTTGAATTTGCCACAACAAGCAGCCATAAGCCGGGCATCGTCTGCATCGAATACACGATCGGTTTCGGCGGCTGTTAGTAATGAATCGGTTGCCGGTGACTCGGGAGTGTTTGAAGCATCCAGAGCCACAGTAACGGGACGAGATTCAGCACAAGTTCAAATCGGTTTGAAATATTCAAAGAACGATAACACAATTCATATCTCAGTCGAACGAGCACGTAATCTCCATGCACTCTGTCTCTCAAACAAGTGCCAAGTGTAAGTGGCCATCTTTTTTTTTCTTTCAAAGTTTTTAATTAAATTACATGATCGACAAAAAAAAGCAACAACACCAACATCTAAACTTGTTTCTTTTCATTGCAGATATCTTAAAGCAGCGCTTTTACCAAATAGTCAACAATCACTGAAAACGTCACTTGTGAGCGGTGCATTGTTGAAGCCAGTTTTCGGTAACTCGTTCTCTGTGCCGATACCCTTGAATAAACTCTATACGAAAACACTTCAAGTGAACGTTTTCAGTGTTGTCGGTCAACGTGAAGAGATTGTTGTAAGTTTTTTTTTTGTTACCTTCGTTTGAGCAGACAAAAAAGAGAAGAAATTAATTAAAATCAATTTGTTTTTGTTGCAGGGTTGCGCCCAAATCAGTTTGGCCGAATTCAATTCCGATGATTCAACGATGAAGTGGTACAATGTGTTGAGCTTTAAATCAATGCAAAACTTTGAGTGTCTTGAAGGTGCAAGTGGTTGCAAAGAGGAATCGTCTGATGAATCAACGATTATTTCTTCACAAACATCGACATTGACACGTGACCAGGGTCAAGATGGAATTGCATCGTCTCTGGTTGATGAGCTTGGCGAAAAGTTAAATTTGAACGACAACGAAGATGAGCAATCGAATTCGGGTGAAAATGAGAATGGCGATGATGGTAGCAGTACTACCGAAGATCGTGAATCGACTGAACAAATGTTGGCCAATTACATAAAAGAAGTGCAAAATTTCAATGTGCCAGCAACAACGGTGGACAAAGAAACAAATACCGAATGTGCTTTTCCACCGGAAAAATCACGTGTACGCGATCGATCATCATTGCTGTCGAATTCAACGTCATCCAGAGAATTGGACTCGATTGATGAACGCAGCGTGAAACGTTCACAAACATTTTCACCAAGTGCAGTTGTTAGTAAATCACGTTATGTTTGCCGATTAAATCGAAGCGATTCCGATTCAGCAATGCACTTTGCAACCGGTGGCCATGGTTTGAATTACAATCAATTGTCGGTTCAGAATCCATTCCATCGTGGAGCCGTCGAACGACGATCTCTTCGTTTCCACAACAAAATCCCAAAAAGTGTTTCAACCAGTAAGTGTTCACACAATTGGATTGTAAATACAATTTGTAAATGATACATTCTCATATTAATCGCTCTTAATTCACAGAAATGTTGCCGATACCTCGAACTAGTCTTGATTTGGAGTTAGATTTACAAGCACAACACACAAAATTAGAAACATTGAATGATGAAATCGAAAAACTGAAAAATTTAAAATTGAAATTGGAACAGGCGATGGATTCAAAAGATGGCAAAATTGCGGCATGGGCTGTTGAGAATGAAGACTTCCAACGACTCGTTGAAAATATTGAAACAAATCATTCGCCAGAAGATAAGAAATTGAAGAAACTCTTGCACAAAACATCAAAGGAAATTTATAAATTGCGCAAAACACGTTTGCCAAAGGGACAACCAGATATCGCATCGTTCAAGTAAGTATTTTAATTGGATTTTTTTTTCGATTGATTGTTTATTCAGATAAATCATAGAAGAAGTTTTTAATACCGTAAATAAATGTTTTCGTTTGACAGAGAAAAAATGGCATTTTTCACACGAAAAGGATTGCCCGTACCTGATTTACCATCCGATTTAGTATTGACGGAAGAACCAGAAGAGCTGGAAGAGTTGGAAGAGTTTTCGATGCCAGCCACACCACCGTCATCGACAACAAATTCAACGCCAAACGAATCAACGCCAAACCCAACGGAAGAGTTCATCAATGGCGATCAAACCCAATCAAATAGTCGCTTTGACTATGTGGTTGATCCAAATTATGGTGTTGAGGTGTGATTCGATACAAAACGAAATTGACGGAATAAATCAGTGAATCGATCAAAGTTGTCGGGTTGACACAACTATTTCGATCAAGCAAAAATAAGACCCGTATGCAGTCAAAGTGTTGTCTGATCAAATTCATGCATGAAGAAATGGGATGTTTTCATGTGAATCGATCGCTAATCCCGATGCATGAACGTTTTTTTGTTTGAATAATTCAAGAAATATTGAAGAAAACCGTGCAATATCCCAAAATTTTATGAAAATACAATAAAGAATTGCTTTCTTTTAAAATGATAAAAACATATAGTCTGCATAAAAACACACATTCATAAGAAGAAGAAAACAACCTCCATATTCATCGGACAATTAGAAAAAGAAATGCCACCATAATAAAAATTGCATCTTTTTACATTAAAAAAAGAGTCCATTATCTGAAAGAAAAATGCGCCATATTAATGATAAAAAAATAATTGTTCAATCGAGCAGAAATATTTTTTTTTGTTTTCGGTTTTTTTTTTTGTAATTTTTAATAATTTATCTTCTTTACGGGTTATTTTATATACCGAACTGCCCGTACTTCGGTCAAGGCCACAAAACTCAAGCCCAGCATAGTAACAAAACGTTACATTTTTCAACGTTAGAATGTACTAAAAACATTACAAATTTGATAGGCTTCTTTATAAGAAAACCAAATATACTCAATAAAAATGATGAGAAAAATGTTGAAATAATTGTTAAGCTTTGAATTTTAGGATAGGATCGCAAATTTTTGCTTAAGTAGAGTTTAAATTTTTGAACTAGCCATTAACTGTGTTGAAGACTTATGTTAACTTATGGTCGAACAATGTTTGAATATGCAGAGAAAAGAAAAACAAATCTATATGTAAAACTAATAAATTCGTAACAATGAATTTAAATAAAAGTGCCTTTGAAATGTGGAAGTCTTTAAGAAGAAAAATTCCTCAAGCATTGGAATATTTTTTGATCTATTACAATTTTTCAGCGAAATAAACAAATGATCAAAATGTAGAAACATTTTCAAAAAAAATGTTGAATGTAAATAAAACAATTAACAAAATTAACAAATGAACACAAAATGTTGCCCTATATTTTAGCTATCTTAATAATAACTAAAAACCTGAAAGGAATGTTGTGAAAAAGAAGATATATTCAACACGAAATTCTTTGAGAGAAAAATTCAAATAAAAAGATTAATACTGGACGTTCAGTAAATAAAGAAAAATCATAATTTGTTGTTTGAACTCATTCAATTCATATTATATTCATCAATAAGTAACATCTAATGGGCCAAATAAATTTACCGGATAAGATTCGATGCGTTTTATCGCGATTAAGCTTAGATCAATTGAGTTGGTGTTGGTTTTCCATTTTGTTTCTAAGAAAGTTTCTTCATCGACGTAAATATTCACTTTTTTGGCTTTGGGTATTTTTTCACGTTCTTTGTTCCATGTGGATACGTCAAGCACCAGCCTATCAGCCTTGCATATTTTATTGGCAAAAATTTCCTTCAGTTTTGGTGAATATTTGATAAACCACAAAATGTTATGCTGTTCGATACGCGCATTCAGCCACAATCGCTCAACATTCACAAAGTTTTTTGCATTATATTCCACGTCGTCTGGATACAAGTAGATGAACGTTTTAATACCGGCCATAGCAGATCGATGAATATCAATTTGTGGAATCATGTGTGGAACGGTAAACAGTGTGATCGTCTCAAGTCCTTTCAAATCAAATTCCTCACAATCCCTAAATAGTAAATGTAATCGTTTATAAAAACCACGGTCGTACAGTTGATTGGCCAAACTTATCGATTGACTCCCAAGCCAATAAAAGATAAGATCATCCAGTTGAACGTTTGATTCCAAGGCCAGTTCAAGATATGCTGATGCTCCCATGTCGAGTGAGAAAGCTCGAATGTTTGGATTTGATTGGAGAAAAAGAACGATTTGTTTGAAGAAATTAAAGAAATGCACGGTGTTATTGATGAAAGTATTCGTGACGAAAAAAGGCATTAGCATTCAAGACTGGGATATTTTTGGTTCAACCATTCGGTATTTGTTGGAATATCATTGAATCTCATTTCCAATTTCTTCAAATTCTCACAATGCTTTAGCAGATCATGCAAATCTTCAACAGCCTCACAGTGGGATAAACTCAGTTCTTTAACGCTGTTCCAATTGATTTCGATTGCTCTCAAATTGTATCTGATGCTTTTAATCGATTTATTATAGGTAAATTGAGTGTAACCATTCTTCTCAACCTCGATACTTTGGATAAATTCATAGAACGCATCGACGCGAATGCAATGACGGTTCATTCTTGGAACTCCTTCACGAAAAAAGACCGTGTTGTAATCGTGTGCACGTTAAACCAATTGAATTTAAATCTTTCAGCGATAGCCATTCGAATATTTCCTCCAAGCAATCGCCGTTCAAATCCAAAAGCGATGCTTTGTGCTTTCTTCGTTTTATTTCGGCTGGTGTCATTGCTAAAGTAATGTCGTTTTGTTCATTGGCATCGTTCAATTTGCGTCGCTTTCGTTTAGTATCGAGTGTTGGTGGTGCTAAACGCTTACCGGTGTAGATGCTTTTGCTTTGCATTACAGCTATTCTGGCCGAAGGTCGTAACATTGTTGTTGATCTGATGATAATTCAACACTAAAATAAGTCCACAAAAAATGAAACACAATTAATTATGAATTTAGCATTCGAAAACTGTGTGTAAGAAAAAATAAAAATCAAAAAATTACCGTATCAAAAATGCTTATGCTGTGATTGCCACAATGTAATGCAAACTAACGTGCTGACAACTTTTGTATTCTGAAACTATAGCACAAAATGCTATTAATAAAATAACATTATTGTTTTGTATAGAAAACTTTGAATTTTACCTTCAAACCTGTTGAATTTCTATTGAATAATGGCAATATCTCACTTTCGATCTAATTTTTTGTAATTTGGTGTGTTCACAGCTGCTGCTAGTAGCTCGTTGTATGGCGCACAGAATGTATTGCGGTTTTTCTTCACTTTTCGATAAATGTGCAGTCATTCACAAATACACCCTCAATCTCTTGCTGCACTCACTTATTAATCTGTAGTCAGTTTGTAGTTTTTGACACTTCACCTTCGACGATTTGTGTGTTTTAATCCCATTAGAAAATGTTCGTTTTTTAAAATTGGTTGTCATTTAATCGAAAATAATGTTACTCACACATAGATGGCGTGAGTGAACTAGCATCTGACAGATGATAATTGTGTTATTGATTTACATACTTTTTTACACTGTTTTTTTTAAAGGGGAAATATTTGACGTTATTGGCTGGAATATGTTGACATATTTTTGATTTGTACGACAACCACTTTTCAATTTGGTTTGGTTAGTGTTTTTTTGCTTGTAATTTTGTTGAGTCATTTGTGAGAGTCCAATAAGAATTTGCTCGAATCGAGCAGAATCAAAAAAAGCAAGAAGAGTTGACTGTTTTATTTTGAATGTAAGTGAATTCGTAAAATTCGTTAAATTAGCATAGTGATTCATTTATCATGTGTTGCTATTAGACGTCGTATCAGTTACATCGTTTTGAAATCATTAATTATTTTTATTCAGTGTGATTAAAATGACCTCATCAGAGAAATGGGAGAGTTTAGACAGTCATAATCTCGGCCAGAATGTGCAAAATTCGCTTGAAGTTTATTACCATTTAAATCTCAACACCTGACGACTATTTATTATCTTTTGCATTCAAAATGTAGTAAATGTCATCGTCGTTCGATTATGCGAAACGAACATCAAAAGTTCATGCAATTTAAATTTAGCAATGATTGCGTGCATATTTAACACAAGTGTAAAATTATGCAAAATCGTTAAAAATGCATTTATTTCATAAACGATTCATATTGCGACCCATTTCAAAAGTGAAGTCATACGGCTCACTGCTTGAAGTATGTGTAACATTTGTTCAATTTCTAAAGTTCATAGCCGGTTAGATTTGTTGACATCCATGGCTATGAAATTTACGCTTTTCATTTCCTCCGAGTCCAAAAAGATTGAAAATCACAATTTACTGGTGCACGATTTTCCCTGTAACAGCTATATATTCTCGTGTACATTTTGGATATTCAACTTCGTTATCGAGGTGTGTGACGTCGCTACGAAAATGACAGAGCGCTTCAGAAGTTATTTTAGTTTTGTCGTGATACGTGAAAGATTCATGCTCCGGTCGTCATACAGTTTACATTTTCTTTTGGCTGGTGGCCATTTAACACAACTGAATTCCTATATTGCGAATTCAAAATTTCAGCAAGAAAATGACAAAAAAAAAACACAAACAAAGTCAATCAACCGATCTCGCGAATGCGCAGCGCGTTTTTTTTTGAGGGTATGTGTTTAACCGTTGAGATTGTTGCGTTCAGAAAACATCATTTGGTCTCAGAATCATTTGGATCGTAACGTATTACGATTGGAGCAAAGAATTTGTCGCGTATAATCACATCCAATTCGAAAGTCGACACTTGCACATACTTTGTGCACGCTAGAGCTCTTTGATTGTATTAGAAATAAACGGATCGAAAATATTGCAAAACATTGATTTAAACTTTAAAGAGATTTATTCGACTGAAGGACTTAATTTCAATATTTGTGAATAAAATCGTGAAAAATATTTGCTCGTTACAAAAAAAAAAAACAGATCGTAAATTGCGAATAAGGGAGTTGCCGTGAAGGCATATACTACAAATTGGTGAGTTTTATTCATAGTTTGATATGAATTGGCCATCAAAGTGAGAAACTGTCTCAACGGAAAATATTGCATTACACAAAAAAAAAAATTGTGCGAAACATTTACATTTAGTTCATAAATTTGCATTTAATAACCATCGGTTGCAATGTGCCAAAATTGCCACCCACATGTTTCAACACATACACGATTGAGCCGAGCATATCGCCGCTGTAGTGGTTTATTGCTTGTTTTTATATTACACCGACGAAACGATCGACGTAAACAATAAGGTTCATAATCCGTTTTTGCTAGAACTGGCCAATGAATGTTCCGCTGTTGACATGCACAAGGTACAATTTGGGGTCCATTGTCGTCTTCGAATTCCTGAATAATTTATGATTATATTCGGGCCAAGGCGATGCGCATAAAACAATCAAAATCTACGTTTCAATTTTACAAAATTGAAAGAAAAAAATAAAGATTAAAAATACGGAATGCCCATTTAATGCGACAACGAAGAAATATTAATATGTTGTTGTGACATGCGCCACAAAGACAAATAACAATTTCATTATCCATTAAAACGCAAAAATGTCGGAAGTGCCCGTTTTTTGTATATTTTTAACAGATTTTCCTTTATTGCAAAATGCTAGTTCACGCGGTGCAATGAAAGTGTTCGCTAGATTTCGACATGCATGCATTTTGGTGCGCGTAGAATGAAAAAGAAAAACATCATTTAACTAATAACTTAACTCGAAATATACAACATTATTTAGATTGGCATTTTTCCGAGTTATTCAACTGAATTCAAATTCAAAGTAAAAATCAATTGCAATTTCAATTTTAGACGTAAAAAAGACATCGAAAAAAAGACACAATGGATGACACGGCGTCGGTACAACTTTACATTTACGATCTGACAAATGGCATGGCAGCTATGATGAGCCAAATGCTACTTGGCCGACACATCGAAGGAGTATGGCACACGGCAGTCGTTGTTTATGGGCGTGAATTTTTCTACGGCGGTTCGGGAATTCAGAGTTGCTTACCGGTAATTGTTTTTTTCTTCAAGTGCTGTAAATTTAGAACCATTTTGTCCGATTAGTATGCGTGAATACGAGAGTAATGCTCTTGCCGAGGAGAGAGACTCTTGCTCTCACTCTTTAACCGATCAATTTTTCATTCGGAGCCATTGATTCCGCAACGCATCGTCAAAATGAATGATGTGACAATTTGAAATAGGAAACATTTTTTTTTGAGATGAAATCGTTCGTGCTAAGAGCACGGCGCACACACCATAAAAAAGGAAAACTCTTCGAACAAAAATAACCTCTCATACACACACACAACAAAAACAGAGTATCACTTCGGCTTCGATTCGGTGTAATTTCACTGAACATTCGTTGGTTTTGTTAACGCTTGCGCATTGTTTGATGATCGTCATTTCTTTTATTTATCTAACCAAAAAAACCACGTTAGTCTTTTTCGTCGATTTATTTGCCGCATTTGCGTTTCTGCAACATAATCGATACAGTGTCTAGTTCGAGGTGAATTTAATAAAACCTTGCACGACATTTCATGACAATTTCGTGAAATTTTTTGCAAGAACATACATATTACAAGATAGCAAACGTTTATTTTGTTTTATTTTCTACTATTTTTCATTTCATTCTATTGTTTTGGTGTGAAGGGATCAACCGTGCTTGGTCAACCGACAAAAATAGAAAAGATTGGCGACACATTTATACCATATCAAGTTTTCAAAGATTATTTGCGTGGATTAGCCGAAAGTTCATTTAGGTAAGTGAATATCGTTTTTTTCTTCAACGAAATTCCACCAAAATTATTCCAAATATTGGGCGATGGTGTAAAAGTGTGAATTAAATGTGTGGAAAAGTTTTGATTAAATCCACTTCTCGTCGTGTCATATGCATCGCGCTGGGTAGTGAGAAAGCGACAAAGAATTTCGTTTGCATTTGATTCTATTTATAAAATAACATGTTTATTTTTCGGAGCGATGTTCAGTCGATGTTGAACTGCGCAAAATCTCTCGTTTCGTTTTGTGTTTGTGAAATTCGATTTTAGAATTTTCTTTTCCTTTGTTTTTTTGTTCGTTTTCAAATTAGACATATTGGTCACCGTTTGATGTGACTTTTTGTAAGAATGATTCAGCGAAATTAATTTCCTCGCCATCAAATGATAAATGAAATGAATTTTATTAATCCGTTTACTGTCTCTTAAACAACTTGATTTCGATTATTTCAGAGGAGCCAGTTATAACTTGTTAAAGCACAACTGTAATATATTCTCACAAGAATTGTGCCAGTTTTTGTGTGGTAACAGCGTACCGAAGTACATCTTAGATTTACCACAGGACATTCTATCAACACCGCTGGGGCAGAGTTTGGCACCGTTGATCGGTAAGTGCCATCAATGTCTTGAATCAAAGATCATTTTTTTAAAAACTTTTCCAACTTTTTATTCCCATTGCAAATAGAATCGATTGCAAATTCAGCAAGCGAAAGTGGTGGCAGTTTTTCATACGAACCACAAATTAGTGGAAGAGAACAGAGTCCCGGTTTTGACGAGTTAAACAGTGAAATTGAACAAGCTCGATTGCAATCGATTGCGTTGGACCGTAGCAGAGCGGCAATTAAAGAGAAGCTTGCCAAAAAAGAGAAGAAAAAGGAGAAAAAGAAAAAGAAGAAGCATTTTTCAACGTCAGACAGTGAATCAGCATTAAATATGTCAGAGGTTGAGGCATCATCGGAACAAGTGAATGGCGCTGCCGGAAGCGATATACCAGATGAAATGCAACCGTCCGAAAGCCGATTGAGACAAGACTCGCAAGAGCTGAACGAAGAAAATGAACGGAAAAAAGCCCGCGAGCCAGCCATTGTTTTCAAAGATATTGAGGTACGAAATAGAAGCCCGACATATAAAATAAAATATCTTCAATTTTTAAAATTTCACTTAATTTTATAGGCTGCTGTCGAATTGGAAAATCTCGTTCGGCTTGTGGATGGAAAATTGTCAAAAGACGATGAGACCGCAGTCGAAGAGTTGCATCAATATTTAATCGAAGGTGAAGGGAGCTGGGCATTGGGAGAAGGATTTTTATTGTTTGTCGGTCGTATTTTAGAGGATAAAAATTTACCGCTTGAGGCACGTGTGCATTTATTGCGCACCCTTGCTGCAGCCGCTTTGAATGACGACATTATTTTATTGTTGCATCAAGATCGTCGAGAACATATTCTAATGAACTATGCGCAAGACATTGATCGCAAATCACCCGAGGAACAAGAGGGACTCGCGTTATTTGTAAGTTTCATCACAAAAACACTTTCCCCTTACATACTAGAAATGTACGGAAAAATATTATTATTTTGATTTCTATGCAGATTTGCAACTTATTCGAAAATATCAGCTCATCCGAATGGCTTCTTTATATCTCGGAATGGAACTATAACAATAATCAAACTTCCAATATTCGCGCTTCAACCAAAGTCGCAGTTCATTGTTTGCTTGCCTCTTCGCCAACTTTAAAAGACATCGGAACCGCGATTGTGTACAATTTGGCTTGCAAGGAGGTAAAAACCGTGGTCTGTATCGTCGCTTTTTTTAACTTTTTCTATTGCATACTCAATTTTCGCATACCAGAGACTGTGTCTTAGACCAATACACGTTCCTCACATATATGTCCCTCACATGGAGCGATGTGATTTTTTTTAAATATTTGTGGAATTTAACATAATATTCTGTTTCTTACTGAGGGGGAGGTCTACTCCTCTTTAGTGCTCATCCAGCACCCACAAAGCGTTTCCCCTCACATCTATTGCTCTAAGAAACAGTCTCTGTTCACATTCACATTACTGCACTTACAAACACTGACACCAATTCGGCCAAATCATTCATGGAATCATTTGTGAAAAATTCATTACATACACCAAGACAAAAGAAAACATAAAAACATTAGACAAAACAATGTCAAAATGAATACAATTTAAATGAGAAAATGTTCAAAAAATAATTTCAGGTATTTGATGACATTGCCGTTGAATTGACGATGGCCTTACTTCAATTCTTCAGTGAAAAACCATCGGAAGAGCATTTGTTCCGAACTCTTAAGGCACTCTCCAAATTTGTTACGGTGTCTGCGGATATTCCACAGTTAGTGCAAATGATTGGACCACATCCAAAGTCATTTAAAGGCAGCAGCAACCGTTGTGACGAGCTCATCGATCAAATCTCACAAAAAGTTCGTTAAAATCAGTCATCGCAAAAAAGTGAACTAACCAAAAAAAAAGCAAAAGAAAAAAATCGTTTGTGCATTTCATGAGTAATTAAATAATAGTTTTTTTTGTTAACATTTTCATTTCGAATTGAAAGCGGAAAAAAGTGGATTTTTTTTTGTAATAATATTATTTGTTAAAATCAATATATAGTGGCATCTGTGGAAAATTTCACTGGATATCGATGTGTTATTGTACCTATTGGATATAATTTATCACAAATTAAACTAAATAATTCAAAAATCGAAATAAATAAATTATCAAATTGTCATTAGAATAGAAACAATCAAACTGGGAAATAAACGCAAATATTTTGCCAAAGATTTTTTTTGCGTTTGAATCATGCTCTTATAGATTACTGTTTAAACTTTCACTGGCGCTAGGTCGACGTGTCGAGATCAACATGACATGAAAACGGTGTGGAAAAATATCAAAGTGCAACACAAGCGTTTAATTATAGCTGAAGGGTTTGCAAAATTATTTATGGACTGTGAAAATATTCGCCGCTGTTTTTGTTCGAAATTTCATTTTGATGTATGTCATTGAGCAATAAAAACAAGCTCACAAATAAAAATAAATAAATATGAGTAAGCTTCAACATGCATGTCAGCAAAGAGAGATCGATTATTTCAGATCACGAAAACACTTACCAGGGCAGCACTTCGCTCTGAGTGTGATCCGAGATCTTCTGGATTTTTCCACATCATAAAAAAAGACGTGTCGATACTTTGGCGAGCCCTGCAGTTCGCATTTCAAAGTAAGGAATTAAGGTGCTTCAGAGTCCCACTAACATGCATTGCATGCCAAAGATTGATCGCACCATAATACATATTGTATGCGATCACCTTGTACGTATTCTGATAATTTGTTTGACGTCTGTGCGCTGTTTTTGTTTTTTTTTTTCATTCAATTTGTTATCGGCAAATGAAGTTTCTCACTCATTTCTTTTTGTGCGCATTTTGATATTATTTATGTTATAGTTTGCCATCACCATCCCCCTACCAAATAACCATTGCGAGAAAAGTGTTTAATTGCACACACATCATGCAGAAGAGTCTTGCATTAAACTAATTGAAAATAGTTACGTTCGATCTGTTGTTTGCAGACGTTGCTCAGCTGAAATCGTGGCATCAATTCCAAATACTCGTCATCGCAGTCGATTGCATCTATCTGTTCTGTATGTATGTGTGCGTGTGTGTGCGTGTCAATTAGTGTTGATTTTAAATCTGATTTGGAAAATTCTTGTGGTTTTTGTTTGTGAATTTTTTATTGTTTAATCTCTCCGTAATTTTTCTGTCACTTCAGAAAGAGTTGGAAAATTGCGATTTTACATTATTTTCTCTTTCTGTGTGTGCTATTTTACGTTTGAAGAAAGAAAATTATGTAATTTTCTGTCTGGAGATCTCAAAATCGTTACATAATCGAAAATATCGAGCAACATTGTGTGCACACAAAAAAATGCAAATTTAGTAAATCGAAGTGAGTTCAGATTAGTCTATTAGAGGTGTTCATAACTCTTCAACTGATTAGGTCGATACGCGGAAATCGATTAGATTCTACACATATAACACGTTCACGTAGAATTCACTTCCTGGATTGGCATTTTTCTGCCGTGCTGTACATCTCGCATCGCAGCTGTGAAACATTCGCGACAATATGTAAGTGCATGATTTGAGAGAATCGCCTGGTACAGCAGTTTTCATGAAACACTGCTATTGTGCAAAAAGACACATCGAGCGAGAAAAAAGAAAATATTTAAGAAAAAAAAAACTTTCACATGATTGCGTATCTCCCGAGCCAGTGCGCTCGCACACACACACACATCACACGAATATAGAAAAATAAAATGAAGAGAAAAAAAGTGCGCGATTTTCACATGGAAAAAAAGTTGTTGCACCGAAAGTGGTACGATTTAAGAAATAGATTAATGCTCGTGTTCGATAGATGGTAGCGATTGTTAGAGAGATGGTAATGCTGGTGTGTTGCATTATGCATGCAGCGGCGCAATTTTGTGTATGTGTGTGAAAGACGCGCTGAGTCGGTTTTGTTACGTGCAAATAAGAAACACTGTGTGCCGACTAATGCAATAAGCAATAAATCCCAAGCACAATTGGACTTTCATTCAGCCAACACGGCATCATTTTTTTTACGCAAACATGTTTAGAAAACACAATGAACATGTGCAATTTTATATACACTATTACTACAGTATCTTCTAATTTTATATTGTATGCTTTCTTTCACAGAACCCTCAGCACTGAGAGTGGAAAAATACAAGCAAAAAGTAACGCGCTGTACTTTGAACTTCCAGAGAAGTAAAGAAAGAGAGAGAAAACCGGTCAGAATGCTTGTACGCGATGAAGAAAATCTCGAGGCAACATCCAAAGTAATCAATGAGGAGTTTAAGAAGGCACGCTGGTGTCTTCGTCCCGATTCCAACAACAATGACACAAACAACAATGAAATACTGATCGGTGACGATTTGTCCATTGATCGATCGTCGATCAAATCATTTTACCGTAACGCTTGCATTCTAGTGACGGGCGGAACTGGTTTTGTTGGAAAAGTATTGCTTGAAAAATTGCTGAGAACTTGTGACTCGTTGCAATGTATTTATGTGCTGCTTCGCTCGAAACGTGGTCTAAGCAGCGAAGAAAGATACCATGAACTCATTCAGAATCCGGTAAAATCATTTTTTTTATTCATTTATTATGGATTGTTTCTTTCTTCTCATTCAATATTGGGAATTTCCATGCAAAAAGTAGCTACTTTAAAAGATTACATTATTTTAATGGGAAAAGAAATACATATAAATCGATAATTCATTCATACGTGAATTAATTTGTTTAAATAGGTGTTTGATCGTATACGAGAATCAAATCCGGAGCGTTTGCAGAAAATTGTTTTCATTGCGGGCGATATTTCGAAAGCGAATATCGGTGTATCGAATTCAGATCTTCATATGCTCAAGGAAAATGTGAACATTGTATTTCATTCGGCAGCAACGGTACGGTTTGATCAAAGCATCAAAGAAGCGGTCAATTTGAACACTTTAGGCAGCATGCGACTTTGGGATCTATGTTCACAAATGCAAAATCTACGTAGCATCATACACGTTTCAACGGCATTTACCAATCCAACACGTTCGAATGTAGGCGAACAGGTGTATCCACCGAAAGTCGAAATGGATTTGAATACATTTATCAAGTGTGCCGATGCGTTGCCAGAAGATTTAGTGGCGAAAATTGCAACGCATTTGCAAGTAAGCAAAATGAGATTGCTGATCTTTCTATTAGAAATTTTAACATTGCGTTCATTTTAGGGAACGCATCCAAATACATACACGATCACAAAAGCAATGGCCGAACAAATGGCAAGAGAATATCACCACAAATTGCCGATTACAATTGTACGACCATCGATAGTCACGTGTGCTTTGGCAGAACCATTTCCCGGTAAATTTAGATAAAATTCTGTTCAAAGAGAATCATACATGGGTCGAAATTTAAGTCTATTCAATAAAAAAAAAATCGGAAAAAAATTCCCTCAAAAAACTCTAGTAAAAAGAGGTTTTCATTGCACTCCGATCCAAATCAACTACGGGGGGAGATATTCAGGCCAGAAAAATCCTAGAAAATCAAAAGAAATACTCAATTTTCCCCTAGAAGAGAGCTTAAATCGGAGGATTAAAGAGGCTTTCTCTAGGTTTACACCCTCCGTGCCCATGTATGACGCGAAGATAAAATTGATTGTTTTATTGATTGTTTTCAGGATGGGTTGACAATGTCAATGGAATAACCGGAATCATCATGGAAATTGGACGTGGCACACTAAGCAGTATCATGTGCGATAATCGTCTCATTCTTGACGTCATTCCCGTTGACATTACATGCAATATGATTATAACGGCCGCTTGGCTCAGTTTCTTCAAACCGTAATACCCTTTAAATTTTTTATATTTCATTCTTTTTTTGCATGACAAAAGTTAAAATGCGTCCTTTCTCTGTTCGCTTTCATTTCCAGAAGCCCAAACATTCGTGTGTACAACTGCATATCGGGTCAGTTGAATACATTAGATTGGGAGACGTGTCGTCGAAAGGTGTTAAAATATTCCCACATTTATCCTAGCAAATATGTAATGTTGTATCCGAATTTTTCGTATCGAACCAATCGTTTTGTGCACTTTTTCTACGAAATATTTTTGCATTTTTTGCCGGCATATTTGTACGATTTTGTGCTTCGTTACAAAGGCATGAAGCCGATCATGTTTAAAATTGCCAGGCGATACAAGACGGCCGCCGATACTGGTGAATTTTTCGCACGTCACGAATACGAATTCGAGGTGAACAATGTCAATGAATTGCTCTGCGCAATTTCGAATGCTGATGATGGACATGAATTTATGTGCGACATTAAACAATTGGATTGGGATGAGTACCTAAAGAGCTATGTATGCGGTATTCGGAAATATCTTCTCAAAGATGATGAGTCGACCATTGATAAAGCACGCCAGACAATCAAAAGGTTTGTCAAATGAAACACAACACTTTTTGTTTCTCCCTCAAACTAATTGAGTATGTACTTTTTTTAAATTTTATTTCATTATATTCACAGATTGTACGCGCTAAAACTTATCATACAAACCATATTTTTCGGCACAATTGGATTTATCATTTACAAAATACTTTTCTAACAGCACAAAATACTCTCAACATTCTCTTTTATTCATCATTCTAAACGCGAATTGAATTAAATTACCTTAAAAAACTGTCTTAACATTCTTTATCTCAACAAGTTTTTTTTCTACAAAATTCGATTAACAAATTATCCAGAGAAAAAACAATATATATATTATAAAAAAACACAAACACACATTAAATATAACGTATTAAAAATGAAAAAAAAGCCAATGAATTTGTTTTACTAGAAATTTGTTGAAAAAAAAATAATTTGTTCATTCTATATTATTATAATTCACTTTTAAAGTACAAGTCAATCGTGGAGTCTTTTCTCATTCACATGAATCAATGGATCAACTTTGTATCCGAGATCGATTGAAGCTCGAATGTGCTGCATTAAATTTATTGATCCGTTTCGTATGCCTTCTTGTGTTAATAGTTCGCGAAGCGTTTCCTCTCGATTACAAAACAGCACATGATTGGACGAGATGAAATGATGAAGATTTAAATCCAAATTTTGTAAAATAAGAACTTGCTTTTTCTTATGTAAATCGTCGGCAAGACCAATGATACCCTTGAAACGATAAAAAAATGGGCGAAAAATATTTATTTTGATTCGGAAATGTTTTGGTTATGATTTGTACGAAAGTGACGAAAGAAAAATTCACTCACCTGAGCCGATGTGTAGTCCAATCCATTGAATTTGGTGCAATCGACAACGGCCGGTACTTTATATTCGGCAGCTGAAGCAGCTTTGTTGACCGTTTCACGCAAGTGATCGATGCCCGGGAAGAACATTCCGACATTGGGCACTATTTTTATGTATTGCATGTTATCCAATTCGTCAATTTTCACAATGGTTTCAGGTCGAGCCCACATGAATAACAAATGTAATATATTCAAAACAACGCCGCACATCAAACCAATCTCAACACCTGCACTTAAACACACGATCAAACAGGCAAGCCATGCAAGAAAATCTCTACGGTTCTTTCGCCATAATTGAATGGGCAACTTAAAGTCTATCTGTAATTGGAGTACACACACAAATTGACAGCAAGTCAAAAATGGAAAAACCACAGAAAAATAAATCGTTTTTTCTTTTCAAAAATTAATACTCACCATGAACATAACAGCTATCACAAGAACTGAGGCTAATGTTGCTTTTGGAATGAATTTAAAGTATGGTGTAAGTAAACTTAACGCTAAAACAGTCATAATACTTGAATAAAGACCAGCCATTGGTGTCTGAAAATGAAAACGTGTCAATTCGATCGCAATTCTTTTAAAATAATTAACATTTAGAATAAATACCTTGACACCTGATGTATGACTGACGGCACTACGGGTGAATGCCCCACAAGTTGGCATTGATTTGAAGCAAGAACCAACAATATTACATAAACCTAATGTCATCATCTCTTGTGATGCATCGACCGCTAGTCCAGTTGCTAAAATTGAAAACAAGCAATAATTCCAATCGTTCAATTAAAAAAAAAAAACATGGAAACTTACTGAATGCTTTTGCGATGGCAACGTTTGCGAGAACAGCAACCAAAGGAACAACAATGATCCCGGTGCCAAGTTCAGCACATACTTGTGTAAATGACAACGTGGTATTATGGTGGGATATTTGAAATGGTGGTAGTGATATTTCTGGCATTCCCGGCTCCACGTCGCCGGATAATTTGAATGGAGGCACATGACTAGCTGTCCAATTATATCCAATGGCTGATGTAATCAAAACAATGAGCGCATTTCTTGAAATGCTTAGATACCAAAGACTCTTCTTTATTATTTGTCCTCGTCTTGTCTCTTCATTCACTTTGATTTCTTTGATTTGCTGCGAAAGGAAAAATAAAATAAAATCAATTGGCTGGCGGCACTTTTTCATGCGGAATTTCTTCATCCTTATTTCTTTATATCTTCCATTTATCAAACGAAAGAACCAAAAAAAGAGTACTTACGCGAAGTGCAAGCAAAAAGATGCAACATCCAATGGCCAATAAAGCATCCCAATGACCGCTGTGCTCCAATCGTTCAATGAGCATTGAAACCGAGTCCGCGAACCCTTTCGAGGAATACTCAATTCCGACTAGGTTTTTCAACTGTGAACCGATTATAATAAGCGACGTGGCTGATGTAAATGCACTCGTAACAGGAACCGAAATAAAATCAACGATAAAACCTACAATATAAAAACAAGAATTTAAAAAAACCGTATTATACTCAGCGTGAATAAGGTGAAAAATTTGAATGTCATTGATGCAAACAAAAACTAGCCTAATCACGCATGTATTATTCATTTCATCTAATTTCTATTAATTAATTTATCGTTACATACGTCGATCAGTTTAAATAATTGAGCAAATTCTGTTTGGAGCGAAAATGTAACAATGCAAAGCGACGCAATTACAATGATGACGAGTGGTGTTGCAATACAAGTGTTATTTTAGCGAGAATCGTGTCGTGAGCGTCGAGTAATGCGAACGAATGAAATTGGAATTCTGAGCATTGCAATTTACGAATGTCACTTACCTAATTTTAACACACCCATCGCCAGTTCCACACAGCCGGATAAAAATGCCAAAATGATTGCGAATTCTGGTGGCTTACCAAACGTGTATTGCAGCGTCAACTGGAATTAGAAATAGTTTTATTAACAAAGCTAATAATAGAAATCGACAAAAAATAAAAATAAAAATGCTTACAATTGACATCAATGACGTGGGACCAATCGACACCTCTTTTATCGTTCCGAAAAATACGTAAATAAATGCCCCTGAAAATAACAAGTGTGTTATCATCGTTTTTTATAAATTCAATTGTTTTGAACTATATTCGTGAACTATTTTACAGCATTTTATGTTTAGATCTTTAATTATACATACCTATGAATGCCGCATACAATCCGTAATGTGATGGCAACTGGGCCAGTGCAGCGTATGCAATTGCCTGTGGGATCATTGTCAGACCGAGCGTTACGCCTGCTATCAAATCGGAATAGGCGGTAGTTTGATCATAGTTTCCGATCCATGACAAAATATAAATACGCCGGCAAACCAATTCTTTCCAGTTTTTCTGTATTTTCAATTGAATCGGCTTTGGCGGTGGTTTCTCATTATTCGCCTCACGTATACGCAACTTTACCGATTCAGAGTCCGTTTCATCGCCCACTGTAAATGTGTATAAAACAAAAACGGTTTTAAATTGTGTGTGATTGCAATTCAATAGTAAATAATAAAAGATAAATTAAAACAGCCAAAGAGAAGTGAGTGATTTAATCGGTGTTATGTACATTTTGAAATGGCAATTCACCCTTAAGCTTTTTATTATGGAGTTGATTGCATTAAAGTCGGCAGATTGTCTGCCATGCCATTTAATGCGCGTTTGAAAGAATCGCAGAAAATAATATAAGAGTTTTCTGCAATACACATTGCATCTGGTATGAAGAGAAGAGCAAAAAACACCTATCTGTCATACTGCGAGCAATTATGGGATTTTTCATCAACTTAAACCAGTTTACAAGTGTTTATAAGATGAACAAGTTTTCAATTTCGTTTAATTAATAGCAGCACCTTTCTTGAAAATAGTGTGTTGCGTACACAGATCGCAAGTATCGAAAAGATCCGATGTGATCATCTATGCTTTGTATGGACCCAAGGGAATATACACCTAGAGAGCCCCCTTAAATTGTTCGAGCTACCCTCTAAGAGGCAATTTGAGTATTTCTTTCGATTTGTTAGCATAGATGATGACGGCATTTTTTTAGGGGGGTGTTGGCAAAATTGCGTAGCAATCCCTGAAAAAATTCATAAGGGGTTCCCTCACGATGTTAAAAAGTGTGTAGGAAATTACGATGAAGACTTTTTTTTGCTCTTTTTTTTCCCATTAGGAAAAAGTGAAGAGCCAAAAAAGGTCCTCATTTCGAAAATTGTTGAGGGTCCCTAAAAAAATTAGGGGGGATAATCTGAACCCTAGGGACCCCCGAATTTGTTGTGGTTTTTTGACTAAAATTCTTCCCGCTTCTCATAATCAATTTTTAGTAGAGTGAAAACTCCTATTTGCTAGGGTTTTGATGATAAAATTCTTTCAATTTTCTAGGAGTTTGCGGATGGACCCTCCCTAATTTTCGAGTGTATGCTGATCCCCTGTGGATAATAGTAACTGGCTGACTAGCTGAAATCAACTGAAAATGAATTTTGTTAACTAAAACCGTATTCCCTGTCACATTAAGTCGTCTATTTTTCTGATTTTAAACAGACAACTAATTTGGGACGTCAGATGGCTGTAGCCAACTGTGATTGAAGTTGATTTGAGTTACATTTTTCAGTACTTGAATAGACTAAAAAATCAAGCAAATCAACTTAAAATTACTTCAATCTCAGTTGGTTTAAGCCAAAAAGGTCCCAAATTAGCTACCTGACTAGTCAGTCAGTAATTTTTCACGCGGGATGCTCAAATGATTTATGTCGAAAAAAACCTCAAAAGAGTTTCACTTTGCCGCTGTAGGTTTATAGGAAACATTTTCCTCTTTATTTCTTATGCTCTTCCCCATTTCTTCTTTCTCATTATCGATACAAAAAAAACTAGAGAAAATGTTGTAATTATGAATGCGGCAAGCTATCATTTGCCCCCTTCACACCAATTCAATATCGTAAAATGCGATTCACTTGATTTTGTCATTTTTTTGTTGTTCATTAATATGACGTTTCCAGCATGAGATTGCAAGTTTAAGAAGAGAACCACAATGAGTCGTTAAATTGATAATAAAAACGATGAACTCATTGTTAAAGCTAAATGAATTTTAGAAAGTATAAAAACTCATCGATCATTTCATTAGTACTAAACTCGTTTGAAGTGATTTTGGTTGTTCACCAAAACGACCGAGTTTAATGAACTGTTCGAGTGTTTGTTTATAAATCTCTCATGCGCTCCCTACAGATGCTTGCCATACAACTGCGAACGTTCAATATTTTTAGATCGAAAATAAAAATACATCTGACTGTAACTCTTCAGACAAAACACATAAATGAGAACAATCAATATATTAACTCGTTCGTGTTGCACAAATTTCAATAATTACAAATAATTAGCGAATTTACGAATGAATTTTGCCGTGAAATATGCGTTCGCGTGATTGTACGAAAAACCATTGTGTTTTCTGTTCTCCAATTTTTAAATTTGGGTTAGCTACATTTGCCCAATCTGCTTCTTTTTTTCAAAGCTTACAATTTTTTTTTGGATTATAAATATGACCGTGTTTTTTGTTTGTTTCAATAACAAATCGAAAAATTCAAGATTAACATTCGAATTAGGTATTAGACTTCTATGCAAATCATGTAGATTTTGACAGCCAAATTATGGCACACGTGTTGAATAATGCTCATCTTAATTGATACAAATTTGCACATTTAATGAATTTCGCGACCAAAAAAAACCACACACCGAATCAGTTGATAAACAGTGCACGGCTTTCGTTTTATATTTGTCATTTGGCGATTTATTCACCGAAAAATGACCCGCCAGCTTTGAAAAAAAATAAAAAAAATAGAATTACCGTACATGTTCGGTCTAGAGAACATATTTCAAACCCACCTAACCCACGTCACATATTCTATTTGGCAGTTGATTGTTTCGTCTTCAAAAATTCTCAATAAATTGTGCAAACTTATCAAACATTCCACGTCTGAAGATGGTTCCGTTGAAGATTTATTTATGAATTCAAAACGGAGACAGAAAGATTGACATTTGAAGTTCATATAAACAGTGGGATTTTTTTTCGCTTGTATCACCCATTCAAAGTCATATAAAATGTTGTTCTTTTTTTCTCAAATTCAATGAAATGTTTGGTTCGTCTCAAGCCCCAACACGATGAAGAAAAAAAAGAATGCTTTCTCAAAACGATGTGAAAATGCGGGATATCTTTAGCAGCGGGCTAATCAAACCGTAAAAAACTAATTATGTGAATAAAATGTCCCTTTGGCAATGAAGTTCTACGAATCGATTGCATCAATTGATGGAAGTAGCCTTCACCAGCTAGTGTTTTTAAATTAACGCTATAATTGCGCGCATTTCATTATTGCTTTGGGCATTCGACAGCTTTATCAAATCGACTCTTTTATGTTGGCAGCAAGGTGTACGTTCTCGGTGTCTATTGATGCAAGGGAATCTTTTATGTTGCCAGTATATTTTTTTGCTTCCAACTAATGTTTAACCTTTGAAAGTGGTTATTCAAATGAATAAAACCGCACGCAAACATTCTCTCTGTTCTTTCCGCTGTGTGCGTTTTTTTTCTTACTTTAAATATTTCTCTGGAAATATGACCGATTATAGCAATCGATTAATCAAACACACACAGTGAATGATTGATATATGTGTGTACATTTTCAGGTGTGATTTTATCGATATTGTGCTACAAAAATGTCCAAAGAGAATTGTGCCAACAACTTTTTTATTCTGTCGATTAATTAGGCATCGTCGGCATTGATTGACGGTTCAAATTGTAAAAATTGCATACCAAAATTGAAATACAAAAGCACCGTATCTATCATAAAGAAACGTGAGAAGTGCAGCCGTTTATGTGCTTTATGAATGTTTAATATCAATTAAAAGAGCGAGATAGAAACCAAAAAAAAAAAATACTAATACAATCGTATCGGTTGAATTAAACCAGCCGAAGACCTTAGAGCTTGCATGTAAATTGATTTTCATGGCTTTTTATGTGTGGCTCTTTCAAACAACCGTGGCCCATTACGTGCAAGAAAAGGAGAGCAAAACATGCGTTTACATATAAAAATAAAGAAAATTAAAACCATAGAATGATCGTGTGTCTCGAGATTTAAAATACAAAAAAAAGCATAACAAGCGATTGTTTTCAGTCAGCTGTACAAAGTTTTAAAACGGCGGCTACAATAACGAAGACTAGTTCAACAAATCGATAATATATATTTTTTTAAATATAAAAGCGACTACTGAAAAACTACAACCAACTGATTGCACACGCAAAAGGTAACTTGGTTCGATCAATCGTTTTCAGATACATGTATCGTTTTCAATGCAGCGAAAGAGATGAATGTAGAGTAAGAGCGAACGAGATAGAGAGTGAATGCGAGAAAAAGTGCGACGATCATATTGAAATTTCATGGTTTAGTTGAGTCGAGTCACCTTAGTCGCTTGTCAACTAAAATAGACTATATGTCAGTCATTAAGCATACAGCACCCGACCATAGACTGGCCATTTTCCGATCCAATTAATTATATTATTATTAATTAAGACAGGCGACGCAACTTCAGAGACAAGTTTTTCTGTTCCATTTTCCATTTCGTGTCGAATGCTAAAGAGAGAAAAGTACGCACTCCAAAGTCGAAATATCTGCACAAATCACAAATCAAAACACAAATGGTTAATCATTATTCGTCATTACGGTGGGTCTCGATTTTGCTGTTTTCGTTGAAATATATCGTGCCTACGTTGACGTTCAAATGATTTATTCACACAACATTTGTTGTCGAAAAAAAAAAACATTCTTATGCCGGCATCTCCGATTGAAATCACGCCCGGTGAATTTTACCTGCAATTATTTTATTTCCACTTGCTTTTTATTATGCAAATCAGTATTTACATTTAAAAAAAAATTACGCCTAGAAAATGAAAACATGCACCAAAACGTATAAATATATATTTATAGCATTGTTGTCTCTTTTGTCATTCAAATGAATCACACACTTGTTGGATTCGTGGCTTGTTGGTTCAAACGCAATTAAATTATGAAAGAAATTTCATTTTGTAACTGATTTAACTACAACAAATGTGTTGAGAGTGTGGATTCTAAAAATCACGACGATGAATTTAGCGTACGATGTCATCATCAACACATATTATACTAAACAATGGCAGAAGTAAAAATGAAAATAAAATAACACTTCAATTCGGCAAGTGCATTATTCCAATCCGGTTTTTTTGTTAATAAATTGAACAATTTTTTGAAGTCTTTTTTTTTCACGTGACGCTTCTCATTCTTCGTTTCATGTGTGTATGCTTTTAAACGCTTTTGGCCATACATCATTTGGAATTCTTGTCGCATTTTATGGCAGATCGCAGTACGATCACTCAACCGTACGCATATAAAACTGTGATCATTGAACATACTTGAAAGCAATAATAAAACACAAA